TTGTTATTATTGTTACGAATGTTCGTATTATTTATACTGTTGTTATCTTCCTCGGTGAAATTTTGATGAGGTGGTGTCATTGGGAGTGAACCATACGAAAAGTCATAATATTGCTGCTGCTGCTGCTGCTGCTGTTGAGTTCTTCCCTGTTCTGATTGTGGTATTTGTGGTGGTTGTGATGTTGATTGTTGTTGTAAATCACTAGAATCTTGACTATGATTTTTTTCTATTTCTTGTGGTCGTACAGTTCTTTGCGGTGATTGTGATTGTGATTGTGATTGTGATTGTGGTGGTTGTTGCTGCTCAGCATTAATATTAGTTGTTCTTGATGATGACAACAAAGGTGAAGATGACGATATTATTGGATCACCATCCAATAATAATGGACTACTATAAATTGATGATGATAATTGTGGGGAAATGTAAGCGGATGATGTTGATGAGGATGGTGGTAATGAATCATCAGGTTCAAACAATTCTTGTTCCCTTTTCTGTCTTTCTTCAACTTCAGCTACATCGGGTGGTTGTTGTTGTTGTTGATCATATGAAGAGAATTCAATTTTCTTATCAGTGAGAAATATGAAATTTTCTTCAGTGAAACTTTGAGGTTCTTCGTTGAGTGGTCCTGATTGCAAGGTAGACCATCGATTAGCAGCACCATTACTATAACCTTTTGATGAGTAGCTGCTCATTCTTCGACTTGGAGCAAGATTTGATGTCCAACTCATCTGTCGATTTTGATTTGATCCTGATATTGAAGTCCAACTCATTTGTCGGATTCCTCCACTAATCGAGTTTCCGCGTGTTGATCTTCGTCTTCCAAAAGATGATCCAGTTGTTGACCTCCAAGTAATTCTTCTGAATTGACTTCTCAATTCTTGGTCATTATCATCAATAAATACTTCGCCTTCACGTTGACCAATATCAAATTCCTCCTCAACGCTCCCAGAATCGGGATTGGTAAACCACATGAATGACGAACCATTGTATAAATTGTCTCCATTCTCGCGTCCTCTATCATATCTACGTGAAATCTCAGCAACTTGTGCTCTAATGTTTTCAAGATTTTCTATCATCTTTTGATTTGCTTCTGCAGTACGTGGATCATTAGCATCTGGTCCATACTGCGCATTCCAACGAAGCACTCTCATTGCTGGATTTATGGCAAATGGACCACAGACACTATGTGCGAAAAATTCTGGGACATTTGATAATAAGATGTCAAGCCACGTCAAGATAATTTTTGCTGCTTGGGTGCATGTCGTAGGTGCATTCGGTGGGTAAATTGTATACTCAGAATATGCGCCCTGAGTTTTAAGGTACCGACTATGGAGAAGTATGAGAACAGTATAGAAAAAGAGGTGCAGATCACCTGAAAAATTAAGATTGCGTTGATTAGCTTTTTCTGTCAGTGAAAATCATCGAGTAGAATCAATAAATACCTCCAATGCCATTCAGCAAACTTCCTTCAAAATCCTTCGACATTTCAGTGAAGCCAAGCCATTGTGGGAGTGCTTGGAACCAATTTCCAAGTTGAGCATCCAATAATCTAAACTTATTTTCATCTTCTTGAATCAACTTCATCCGTGATATGTTATGCATATATTTGCGCACTTTAACACAGATTCTACTGAGCATTGTCCAATAGATAAAAGCAATATATAATCGAGAATCTTCGTCTGGTGGGTTTAGATCATCTGGTAATTCCAACTCCTCGACGTCACAATCATTCTCTTCTATCATGTTAGGACGGCCATAGGCAGCTGAAATGAAACTATTTGCGTGCATTTTTTTTTTAGTAAATTATGTTAGATTTAATGTTTGTTTTCATGCTTAAAAATCAAAAATTATTATTGATGACGCTTACTTTTCGGAGATAAATGTTATCCAAAAGGCCTCATTTCTTAATCGTGCTACTTCATTTACCATCCTTATCTTTACATTTTTCATTTTACGATGCAATCCAAGTTCAAACAACATTTTGGTGGCGATGCCATTATACATCCAACCTGCAACCGGCTAATTATGATGATAATCATATAAACTTTTCGTTTTTGGATAAAAACAAGAACAATAATAATACCAAAAAAAAAACCAGCAAACCTGTTTATTATGACGCCCCAAAAGAACAGTCGCAATAACGGTGAGAACATGCGGTTGCGTGCGACAATATTCATACAGAAGGGCTATCAAGGGACATTAAATTATCATCAATTAAATAAAAATCATTTTATCTGGCTATCATAATTAGTAAATACCTTCAGCACGTTCAAAATAAACTCGCCCGTCTTTTCTTGCAGGATCTTCATGAAAAGGTGATGCAGCGAAAAACACGCAATTAAGTAGGAGTAAGTGTTGTGGTTTCGAAATATTTTGCAGTGCATTGCGAACCACTTGTTTGCGAAGAAAAGGTGCGTATCGATGAAGGTGCTGTTATTTAAAACAAGACATTTATATGATTAATAAGATATCAATGCTTTCATACAATGATTGATTGATACGAATAATAATAATAATAATAATAATAATAATAATAATAATAATAATAATAATCATAATAATAATAACAACAACATACCTGATAATACAAAGAGATCAGATAGTTAACTGTTTCGGGATCCGGTAGATATCTTAGTGATTCCCGAACAGCCGAAAGGTCTTGTTCACCTTGCGGGATGAATTTCTCCTGATTATCATCTTCATCACCTATCAACAACAAAGATCCTTCGCCAATATATCTCGTCGATTGATAAATATTTAATTCTTCAAAAGCGGCGGTCAGTTCTTGAATTCGCAATTGTTCGTTCGCAACTATTGATTGATTGATTTCTTGGGATGGTGGCTGTGACAATATTTCAGGTGGTACCTGTTGTACGAGGACAGCGAAATCCGCGGAATTTAGAAAATAATTTGGATCGTACTATCGAGAATCAAAAATTAATTTCTTGTGTCAATTAATCAAAATTCAATCATCATGTATGCATGTATGCGTCGTTTTTGTTCCGCTTCAATTTAAAGTTTTGTTGTTGTTGAAATTTCGGATAATGTGTGTTGCTGGGTAAGAAATATGGAAAATAGTTTGATAGATAAATGGAAAGTGATTTGAGTAGTCATGATGCTAACCTCACATTGCTCGGTATTTCTGGGAATTTTCGAAGCAATCTCTGTTGAATGCTGTAAAACGGCTTGCGCTAGTCCTTGACTCATAGAAATCGGATGCTATAAATAAATAATTTTTGTTTGATTGCATGTGAATATGTAATTTTAGGACGAAAAACTATATAGGATACAAACCTCCTGCTGTGGTAGTTGCAACTCTGGTCTCAAGAAAAAACCTTGGAACGTATCTTGACTATTCACATCCACATCGTAACCTCGCATAACCATTGAAATGAAATTCTGTGTTTGATCAATTTTACGTTCTTGTGTCCTTTGAAGTTCGTTTAATTTCTCTTGCATTTGTCGTGCTTTGCTTGTTGCTGCTCCACCAC